CACCATTCAGGTTTCTCTCACATAACATTCCCCCACTTTATCTTCAATACTTGGTTACTCTATTTCATCGGCTGTCCCCTCTACGACCGCTTAAGGAATGAGAAGGAGTTCGGAGCAGTGTACGATCTCGTCAGTGGATGATTCTTGATCCATCCCCTCAGTTACGTCTCGGGGCTGTTCGCAGGTGCAGTGGCAGAGACCCTCACCTGTCGGAACCGGGCTACACCTCTGGTTGGCGCCAGCTCTGGTGTCATGGCTTTGCTGGCCAGCCTCTCCGTCCTGGAACCTAATAGGTAGGAACCATAGCCTTCATCTCATGCTAACGCCGTATGCAGGTGGTGGTACATGCTATTCCCAATACCCGGAGCCACACTCTCTTCCATGCAGTTGGCGGACATCAACCTTGCCGTCCACCTTGTCGCAGCTCCTGCTATCTTATACCGTCAGTGAGGCTATTAAAAAGGGATCTATTCTCTATCCTACGGTTCGTTCGACGCAGGTGTTCTCGAAGATTTCCTCCGCGTTTTGGGAGTAACGTAGCATACGTTGGGCACCTAGCCGGCATCCTGGCCGGTTATGCCGCGACCAAAGCGTAGGTCTTTCGGTTGAAAACGGTCGTTAAATATTTGGACATTACGTCGTCGCTTGTCTCAGCATCCAATGGCATCATCGTGACCAGGCTCTGTTCCCACACGAGACCTGGTGGGAGTCGCATAAAAGATACGCCCTTCTACACTGGAGGTACAGTTGGAGCTCCTTGCTAGCGTTGGATCACTCGTATGGGTGCTGCCCAGGTTCTCTGCCGAAGATGCGGATGATCTCGGGGAATGGATGCTTTGTTGGTATCGGGCACGACAGGCTCATAATGCAAACGAGCGACGGTATGAACTGAATGCTTTGATTGACGATAGTTATCATGTAGGTATCACAAGCGGAAGATGGAGGTAATCTCAGAAAGAAGGCAGCAACGACGTTCATGCCTAAGCTGAGTGCCATAACGCTGCGTTTACCAGTTCTCTCCGCCATACCATAAGTCCTTTCCACCACTGCACCCTCAGGAACTTGTGTTGTCATTGGGAAGAGGGATAGTTGCAGCGTTCTAGGCTGCAACCCCCTTATCTGTCGTCAACACCAAAACCTCAGCACATAGTATGTATCATACTCTATGCTGCATAACCACTGGATCGCATCGAGCAAAATAGAGCTAGTACCGACCGCCGATGATGATGATCCAGAATCTTCCCGTAGAGAGCTCATGTGGGTGACGGAGATCTAGTTGATATCAATTACAATTTTTCCGACAGAATAAGAAAGAATCCCCTATAGTAGAATCGTTTCTCCATTTGGACCCAAGCTGTAGGCAAACCCACTCCCGAAGTTAGTAACGCTCGCTTGCATACGGAGTTACTGTAAGGGTAACTTCAAGTTACCCTTACAGCAACTCCGTTAGCAGTACACCTAGGAGTTGAAGGCGCAAGTGCAAACACCCTGGCTCGTTGAGGATCCATTCTTTCCATTTTGCGCGTGTTTGGAAACAGTCGTCGCGCGGCATAAGTCGAGTAAAGGGGTGTTCCGCTCGACCTTCGTCCGTTATCTGTCCGATATCATCACTCATGAGAATTTGATGGAGGCACCCAAATCTTAGATCAGAACAGCTCACTACCCTCAGGAGATTCATAAGAGAAGCAGTAGGAGGGAAATGACGAGAGAATCTTTTCTGTATATTATCCCCCCCTGAAAAACCTTCTGACTCCAATTCCACACCACCACCAGCATCCAACAGTGGCAATCACTCATCTATAAGGTTGCTCTCACCATGGGCTCGAATTGGTACTAACAACGTGCTTCAAGGCTCTTTGTCTAACTCATGTGGCGTAAATTACTGCCGCTGGGAGTATTCCATTGCACGGTGGCGTTTGCCTTTCCGGAGGATGAGTCAACCTACTACTGTAACTCTGCAATGAGGTGGGATGATCCTCCACCACGAGGAGGGGATGGGTCGAAGGGAAAACTGGTAGGATTGCTGATTCCGAAGGCCTCACAATTGTTCTCTCGAGGCACGGGTCCTTGTCTTCGCGCGCCACGGTTCTCGAGTGCCCTGGGCTGAAAGGAAATGCTGGGTGAAGGATGAGACGAAGTAGATATTTAACACTTGCGGCCCGGCTGATGGCGGGACCATACCTCATGCCAAGCTGAAAGTATGCACTGGGTATTGTTCTTATTATCCAGATACACCTGCCCAACTAGGACCTTCGCTGGCTTCACCAATAGCCCCTCGGTGGGCCGCTCTTCCGGTTTCACTCGCCTCCGTGGCGAGA